TGAGTGGGGTGCAGGGTGAGTGGGGTGCAGGGTGAGTGGGGTGCAGGGTGAGTGGGGTGCAGGGTGAGTGGGGTGCAGGATGAGTGGGGTGCAGGGTGAGTGGGGTACAGGGTAAATGGGGTACAGGGTAAGTGGGGTGCAGGATGAGTGGGGTGCAGGGTGAGTGGGGTGCAGGATGAGTGGGCATTATTCGGGTGAAGAGGGGAGGGAGTGTTGGGGGGAGGGCACTGGAGACTTAGCCAAGGACAAAGGCCACAGGAAGGCCCGCCTTTCCCTGGGGATCTGTGGGAGTTGAAGGAGATAAACCATTATTACAATTACCCCCCCTCCGCCCCCCAGGGATGGGTGTGTCTGTCATTTGCCCAAGCACTTCACAAACACAGTTCAGCTCCCCAGTAGTGGTCCTCTGTTTTTCTGCCGTGGCAGTCCCTGATAACCGGTCTCCCATTTTACAGGTGAGGAAACCAAGGCCCATGTGGTTCAGTAATTGTTCAAGACCTCTCAGGCAATAAGCAGCCCTGAAGGGCAGGGCAGGCCAGCCTGTCTGTCTCACTTCCGGAGGTTTGCGCTGTGGGGCCCCCAGGCCGGGAGGTAGAAGGACCATATGGAAGATGTGAAGCTGGCCCAGGGTGGCAGATTCAGTAGTACAGACTGTCCGTCCCCAAGGGCAGGAGCCACTCGCGTTATTAGCCCATCACCTCCCAGCTTCCATTGGAGGGACCCTTTGTCCCGTGCAAACAGCACTGTGAGTGTATCCCAGCTGCCCCAGAGGTCACAGAGGAAGACTGGCAGAGGGGGCAGAGCCACGCAGACTCATAGTGAGGGCTCACGATACCCCATGGGGGGGTGGTTCTGCTCATGGGAAACCCTGTCAAAACCAACCTGATTTTCAGAAGCAATGCCTAATCTGTAAAAGTAAGAAAACCAAATATCCAGCAAAAGGTAACAGCCTCCTTTTAAGGAAGACCTATGTTTCAATTCTTCTAAATAATTCAAACTAAATCATGAATAATTTAAGTGAAGCACAAGACTCCAGCAGCTTGACAGGCTATAAATGTTCCATCACTGGTTGTGAACTTCGTTCATATCTCAAATTCTTTACCTTGAAATGGCATGTCTCATTTAACAAACGGCTGGCTTAGAAACAGTGTGCCGCTGGCGGGGCCAGGCCTGAGCCAGAAACCTCTCTTTCCATGTAAGCCAGCAGACATTCTGGGACACACTTATTTCTGCTTGAAGGACAACAGACACCGGGCGTAGTGGCAGCCATTCAACAATGTTGAAACACGTACATCTGCTTGCTTTTATTTTTACTTACTTACTTGAGACACAGCCTCACTATATAGCCCTGGTTGTCCTAGAAGTCAACCAAATTGGCCTCAAGCTCACAGAGATCTGTCTGCCTCTGCCTCCCAAGTGCTGGGATTGAAGGTGTACACGACCACACCTGGCATTATCTGCTTATTCTTGTGTGGCACTCACCAGAGTGTTGAGGGTACAGCACAGAAGTTTGCTTTTGCCTTTTGCCACTGGGGAGAACAGAGCATCCCCTGTTTGGACTGTATATCAGGAAGTTGTTGACCTTTCCAGCCTGACAGGACAGCTCAGTCCCCAGATTTCACTTCTGATAAAATGTCAGACACACACTAGGGTTTTCCTTAAAAGTGTCATAAGCCAGAAGGTGGTTTTGGTTTTGTGTTTTGAGATAAGGTTTCACATAGCCCAGGCTAGCCTCCAACTTTTAATGTAGTTAGGATAACCTTAAACTCATGATCCTCCTGCCACCTCCTTCTCCTACCAAGTGCTCGGTTATAGAACTGGGCCTCCCATGTCTAGTTTATGTAGTGCTTGGGTGGAGCCCAGGCTTTGTGCATGCCAGGAAACACTACCAACTGAGTGATAATTCCAATTCCCCGGAAGAATTTTTAAAATTATTTGTTTGTGTCTTGATTCTATTTGCAAAAATTACATAAGAAAAAATAATTTATAAATATAACTTAATTATTCCATTACATGCTTTATATTGTAGTCACAAAGCTAATTTAGATGGTCTAATTTACCAAACTACCTTGAACTTTTGAATTAAGTCTACATAGACTTTTCCTAAAGCTAATAACAAAAAAGACAGATAGCCAGGAAGAAAGAAAGAAAGAAAAAGAGAGAGAGAGGGAGGGAGGAAGGAAGGAAGGAAGAGAAAAAGAAAGAAACGGAGAGAAAGAGAGAGAGAGAGAGAGAGAGAGAGAGAGAGAGAGAAAGAAAGAAAGAAAGAAAGAAAGAAAGAAAGAAAGAAAGAAAGAAAGAGAGAGGCATTGTGTGTGTGTGTGTGTGTGTGTGTGTGTGTGTGTGTGTGTGTGTGTGTGTGATTGAATGCATGTCTGTGTATCATGTGCATGCAGGAGTCTACTGAAATCAGAAGAGGTTCCAGACCTTCTGGAAGTGGAGTTGCAGACAGTTGTGAGCCACTATTTAGGCACTGGGAACTGAACTCGGATCCTCTGGGAGAGCAGCAAGTACTCTTAACTGAGCCATCTTTTCAGCCCTTTTTTCTAATCTTAAAAAAAAAAAGTTTTAATTACATTTATTTATGTGGGTGTGCACATGTATGCATATGAACAAATGTGTGCATGTGTGCCACACATGTGTAAGTCAGAGGATGACTTGTAGAAATTGGTTCTTACCTTCCAATATGTGTGTTCTGGGGAATGAAAGCAGCCTTGGAGGCAGGCTATCTTGCTGGCCATCATTTCTAATCTTAATCCTAAAGCTCATGATTAAAGATATTTAACTACTAAGGTAAAAGGTTTACTGACAGATCAATATGGGGTTAGATCCTCATTGCTGAACCTTGTCTGAGAAAGTTCAGTGGACTTAGAGCCAAGGCCCAAGCGCCCAGGCTCAAGGGTTGCCCTTGCTTATAAACTTCGGCAGCAGGGGGCGCCAATGCCGTGCCAATGGGATAGGGCTGAAGTGGAGGTTCTGAGATGAAGTCTGGCCTGGATGCTCTCCTGAGCTTCAATAAGATGGCACCCGGGTCACACACAGATCTGAGAGGACCTGTCAGGGTTTATTAAAGTGCTAACTTGGGTCTAACCTTACGGATTTTGTTGTTATGAAGTATAAATGAATAATACCGAGAAGTGTCTTGTCCTAAGGACTGCTGTGAGCCAGGCCCTCTGAGAGAAAGCACACAGGCCCCGGAAGCAGAAAGATCTAGAATCTAGTTCCTGCAGGCACCTCACCTCCTCATCACTTGCTGTCTCTGGACCTCAGCTTCCGGACTGAACAACCAGAGTGATAAAACCCTTGCTGTGGGTCTCACACCCGTGTGTTTCAAAGGGCTGATGTGTTGCCAGCATGAGCTGTAGAAAGAAGTGATTTGGAAGGTGGAAGGTGCCTAGGTGTGCAAGGGTTTGTGACACTGGCTGAGCAATGCCACTCTTGGTGGCAAGTTTCAGCCTGGTCTACAAGGAAGGTGTGTAGACCAGAAGGCTCCAGAATGGCTGGGTCTGGGCTGGTGATGTTTGCCCTCAGGTGGCAGTGTTTGCGCATGCTCTCTGCAATGAGGGAGGACCAAGGGATGGCGTGGGTGGCTGTGGTCAGCCACACAGAGCAAGCATCCCATGAAGGCTGTAGGGAGGGGTGTGGGGACTTGGATTTGGGGAATAAACCCAGGAGCCTTGGAGCAAGTGAGCACAAGCGTCTGAGGAGGGAGTGGGAGAGCAGCCAGAGAGGGGGTACCAGGGCCTGAACGGGGGAGCCCCAGCTAGTTGTCTACCAAAGGCTGGTGCACTGTATGCAGAGAACTGAAGAGCAGCCATATTTAAAATAATCCACTTTTTATTATTACCATATGTGGATCGTTCTAAACGTGAATGATGAGATACTCTTCCTCTTTTGAGGGTGGGGAGGTCAGAAGGATATTCCTACCACCCCTTCCCTGATACGCCATAGACCCTTGTCCTTGCCAGTAGCCAACCCTTAATAGAGTCGGGGGAGAAAAAGAACCTTGGAAAGGACTAGAGAAATGACAGAGCAGTTGACTCTCCATGAGCATTGAGTAGTTAAGATGGGGCTCCAAGGATGCACCCAGCAATGTAGGGTGCAATAAGGCTGAGCAGAGCATGGGCCAGGTGGGCTGCTGGGGTGCCCACTGGATGGTTCAAATCCGGGGGCATTACTGCTGCTGTCTCCCAGGTGCCCCGCCCTTTGCCGCTTGCAGGTTATAATCAATTGGCAAACACACTGAATGACTGATTCCCTGGGCTGCCCTGCTCCCACCCCGCACTCCCCACTGATGCGGAAATCCAATTTCCTCTTGGCTCCTCCACTAAGAGCTACCCTGCCCAGGCCCTATGAGGCCAAGTCTCATCAGGCAATCTGTGTTCTGCCCTCTCCCTGGCCGATACTTGACCCTCAGTGACCACCTCTCTCTCTTTGCAGGAGCCGGGTCCAACCCGCCAAGGATGCACATAAGAATCAAGGTCCTGTAGCCAAAGAACCACACAAGGATCAAGGGCCTGTGGTCCCAGGGCTTCCAAAAGGCCAAGGGCCTGTGGTCCCAGAGCCTCTGAAGGACCAAGGCCCCATGGTGCCAGAACTGCCAAAGGACCGAGTTCCTGTGGTCCCGGGCTCGTTAAAGGACCAAAGCCCAACACCCCTGGGCCCACCAAAGGATCAAGGTGCTGTATTCCCAGGGCTCGTGAAAAATGTAGGTCCAGGGGCCCCAGCACCAGCCAAGGATCAAGACCACGTGGCTTCTGAGCCTTTAAAGAATAAAGATTTGGTCATCTTAGCACCAGCCGAAGCCAAAAGCCCTTTGCTGCCGGAGCCTCTGAAGAATCAGAGTCCCGTGGTTCCAGCAAGAGCTAAGGATCAAATTTCCCCAGCACCAGCACCTTTAAAGGACCCCGGTCCTGTGACCCCCGAACCTGGGAAAGACCGAGCTCCTTTGAAGGACCTAGGTCCTGTGGCCCCTGAGGCTTGGAAAGACCAAGCTCCCGTGGTCCCAGAGCGTAGAAAGGAGCAGAATGTCACAGTCACGGCACCTTTGAAGAGTGAAGCCCCTGTGGTCTCTGAGTCCATGAAGAATCAAGGCTTAACAGACCCAGTCAAAGGTATAGATACAGTGGTCCCCAGGCTTATGAAGGGAAATGATTCTGTGTTTGTAGCACCTATAAAGAACCAAGGTTTAGTGACCCCTGAGCCAGTGAAGAGCCAAGACCCCATTATCCCAGCACTAGCCAAGGACCAAGGTCCCATGGTCCCAGAGCCTCCAAAGAATCAGAGCCCTGTGGTCCTTGGGCCTGTAAAGAATCAAGACCCTATAATCCCAGTACCTCTGAAGGGTCAGGATCCCCTGGTGCCGGCCTCATCAAAGGACCAAGGTCCTATGGCCCCTGACCCTCTGAAAACTCAAGGTCCCAGAGGCCCTCAACTGTCCACAGTCTCATCTTCACCCCCAGTCATGATCCCAACAGTTCCCCATGCAGAATATATGGAGGGATCCCCTTGACTCCCCTGAAATGCCATGAAGGAGCTGGAAGTGGAGGTGCTCCCCTCCTGGGGAGGCAAAGACATATATTTATTCTGCATGAAACCGTGCTGTAGTCTTGCTGGAATCTAATAAAACCGGTCCCTCTGCCTCAGCAGTGTCTTTGTCTGGCTCTGTGGTGTTGGAGTCGGTGCGCATGTATGTGTGCATGCCGTGCTCACTGGAGAGTGGGTGAGTCCGTCTGTGGAGTCAGAAACTCACAGTTCTTAGGGCTTGTCAGCATGACCTAGGGGTAGATGGGTGCTGGGTGGTTTTCCCTGGACAGATGGGCATGGACATGTCCCCTAATGGAACAGAACAAAGAGATGATCCCACACATCTAGTTTAGTAACCAGTGAGTTTATTGGGCTCACTAACAGAGCTGTGGGTGAGGGGTTACCTACAGGAGAGGCATGTCTGGCTCAAAGGCAGTTGCATCACTGATAAACTCAAGACTCATTAAAACTGTATCCCTGGAGATCTTTGCGTGACTTGCTGGAGAATCTTCCAGCTCCAGAGATCCTTACTTATATAGCCTTGAGGTAGGGCCTTGCGAATCTTGTATGTTTCAGGAGTTTCCTGAGACTTTTAAATTCCGTTCACTTTCTGAGTCTTTCCGGTCTCCCTCCAGGAGGAGGTGTTTCAGTCCCCCGGAAATAGCTGTGCAACAGTAAGTGATGCTGGGAGACTGAGGGCGGGGCCCACCACAGAAGTGGCAAGGCAGTGCAAGGATCTGAGCCTTGAAAGCCCACAAGAGGCAAATCCCAGCAGCCTGAGCTCAGGATGGGTCAGAGCTAAAGCCCACAGAAAAATAGAAGCAGACACTCAACTGACCTGGGGAATTAGGGGTGATAGTTTTTGGTCATGGGATCAGTGGTACAGCTCATCCATTCCAGGCCCCCAGCTTCTTGTTCATGAATCTCAGGACTCTCTAATGAGGCTCAAAGCCCTCAGCTATTGATGCTTGTTCTGTATCCATGACAGCTGAATATGGGGTTTATAAGTATTGCCTTAGCCGGGTACAGTGGTACAGGCCTGTAGTCCCAGCTACTCAAGAGGCTACTCAAGTAGGAGAATGGCTTGAGACCGGGGGCTAATGTTCAGCCTACTCTACAAGGTGGGGTCTTGTCCATCTAACCTGAGCTGACCTTGAACTCGGGATCCTTCTGCCCCTGCCTTTCCAAGTACTTGAATTACAGACATGTGTGTGCTCCTGTATCCAGACAAAATAGGGTCTTGGGGTTTGTTTGTTTGTTTTGTATTGTATTTCTGTTTTATGAAACAGGATTTCTCTATGTAGCCTTGGCTGTCCTAGAACTCACTCTATAGACCAGGCTGGCCTCAAACTCAGAAATTCACCTTCCCCTGCCTTTAATCCCAAATGCTGGGATTAAATACCACCACCGCCTGGCTTTCCTTCCTTCCTTCCTTCCTTCCTTCCTTCCTTCCTTCCTTCCTTCCTTCC